TTATATTTATTGTCAAAAGTCGTCTGACAACATATTTCAAAGGCGCACGTAAATGTAACATTTGTGTTACATCAAGTGTGTTCGAGCGATATAGTTTCACCAATGTGGCTAAATTATTTGTCTTTGTTTGATCTAGCTTCTATATCTCCATGGACAGAGACAGTGTGTTCACGAGATTTCCGTCCTACAGACATGTCATATTTTGAACTTTTGGCTACTTTCTGCTCTTTGACTATAATCAATGTTGAAGATAGTCGACGTGTTTTCAACAATGTACCATTCGTTAGCAATTATCTTCTTCCTCGATCATTCTTCGTTCAACAACTTTTTGCATATTTTAAATTGGATTGATATTGCTAGTGTTATCAATCAGTTTTTATCGGGATCAAACGTTAATTTCCAAGTTACAGCGGACAGTGGCAACAAAGCAAACATTGGGGATGTATTGCTTTACCCATCGGCACAAATAACTGGCGAAGACATAATATTGGTGGAATCATGTTCATGCACAATTAATTCTGATGTTTGCCTTTTGATACCTATCATATATACGAATCGATCAAACTTCTTCGAATTTCTCGAAATTTCTTATGAAATATTTCTGGGTTACACGTCATTGGTGGGGGTTTTAGCTCTCGCACCGACTGGTGATACAATAAGATTCATATTGACAATATACGGCAACATACGGTAGTGTGATCATTTCTGAATTTTTGCTGGATATCAAGTCGCTCAATACATCGATTCCCACTCGATTTGATGGCAATACATTCGACTTAATCAATCAGATGCTTTCCAAAACAGCAGTCATCAGTGATGATCGTTATGTTCTGTACAACCATCAATGTGCATCTCTCAGCTGTTCACATACAATATCCAAACGTCAGAATATTATCATTGCCATTCTGTTGCTTGCTTCCGTTTGTAGTGGACTCAATCGAGGCATTGGATTGGTTGTACCATTGATTGGAAAGCTTATTCTCGTTATTTTTGGAAAATGGAGAAACCAGAAAATTATTCGGGGTGAGTGTATTGTGCAAAAATCATCCATTTCGATAACTAAGCAACTTGTTTTTCAATCCGACACCAAATATCTCTAAAAAGGACTATGGGTAGGATGTTGGTGTTGGTCTTTCATTAACAATCGAAGCCATACCCCACACTCACTCCCATCCATAAGCTCAATCTGACTATCATACCGCTCTTAAGATCAAAAGAATAAACGTATTGAACGAGAAAACTGCAACGCATATACGATTTTGTAGTGTCATTTTTGAAAGTAAAATGTGTCAGGAGTTGTTAAGCAACTCAGAAACACAAGAAACTAGCGACTGCAGTTTTCACTACTGGAAACTGGACACTGAACTCCATCAATCTATGAAAAATTGAAAATGTAAGAGATAATCTTAGCGATTTCTGTTACAATTCTCGAAAAACCGTCTTCCCAGTAAGCATTCAACCAGTTACTTGATAAATATTTTGACGAATCGATGTCAGCTTCCGACGCACAGGGTGTGGGTGTGAATGTCGGAGAAATCAGAATGTAAGCGAACACTCATACCCACACCCAAATTAAGTACATCGTGCGAAATAAACTGTATCTCGCTTAAGACATTCGGAATCTCACTATCGAATTTGATCAAAGACTCGTCTTAGAACAACGATTTGTTTCCGAAAAAAAACGCTGTGTACTTAAATGCTTTGAGTAAATATGCTCCTTTTAAATAACCGTTCCTCCTATCTGCTGCAGTTTCTCAAAAAAAGCTGCACTACTTTCACAATATTTTTATGGGAATCTGTAAAGAGTCAAATTCCAACTTCAACTCAGTACAATTTGTTTCACTTGATGCAAATTTGTTATTCGTTTATTATTGGGCTTGAGCATATTTTCTATGGATAGTGAGTCAAGTTTGAGTGTCTTTCAATAAGGTTCCCAAACCCATCGTAGAAGGAGTCAAGTCAATCCATGAATGACTTAGTAGTATTCAGTCTTGACTTCAAAATCACAGCAATCCAACCTGTATCGATTAAGCATTTCGTGATATTGTTCCCTATCGAAATATTGAGCTCCATCGAGATCTTGTCTTACAAGCTCTACTCAGTAACACAAACTATTCAAAAATTTAATTTTTTCCTATAATCATGTTATTGATGAAGCTCCTCTATAGATAAGATATCAGTTGCGAAAAATAACTTATGTGTGCATTATGTACATTTATATCATGTTAAAACATAATCATTTTTCCATGTTCTTCGTCGCACTGATGGATTTATCGATAGTTCACTTATTCAAACTCGTTTTTACAATAGTAAACTTAGCCGAAGATGCTCAAAGATTAGGTATTTTAAGTCAAAACGATGTCTTCTCGTTCGAATATTTTCCCTCCAAAAGACCTCGAAATGTTGGGTTCTGCTGACGACATTTAGTCTCTCATGTCTATGTCCACGCCAGTTGATTTTTGATATTCGACAATAGAAAGAATAATCCCACGTTTTTTGGTGTTGAATTATCGAGCAATAACTTGTAGAAAAATGTTTCTTTCATTTTTATCATATTACCATTTATGGAAAAATAAAAAAAGAAAGTCGATACTAGTAAGAGATACTACACAACATTTGCTCATCTAAACAGACAATCAACAGTTCAATAACACTAGTTTTTCACAATGAAATACATCTTATTGTACGAATAAATGCGGGAATTTTTTTTTATATCTAGTGTGGGTTGTTTTTTTTCGAAAGTGCATGACATACCCGTCGGAAATTTGGGCTTATAAAGTCATTGTTTTTTTCATCTATCACAGTGTAATACAGTAATAGTTAAAAGAAATCTTGTTAATATTATCATCATTGTCTCTTTCGATTGCATCAAGCGATTCTCAGCTTCAGACAATGTATATAGTCTGGTGCAAAATGAGATGTGTTCAACGATTTTAACATATGTATTAGTGGTAAAGCAGCAGCTCATCAATGTAATTGCCTGACGCCTACAGAATATTGAAACTCATTGGTTTTTCGAACAAATCATCGGATAGAGCCGTTACAATTTTATATTCTCGCTATTCTTGCGCGTTCTGTTTCTGCTACACTAACTAAAGATGGTCCACGTGGCTTTTGTGTAGAAGCTATTCTTCAGAGAAGCGCCGAACGGAATGCAAAAAATCATTTTGCTTTCTGTTTGCGTGTTCATTTAATTTGAGTAAGTCGAGCTGCATGCACATATCTTTTATATATATATTATTTCAACAAATATCATATAAAACGAAGTGTCACTGTCGCATGAGTTAATATTTGAATGCATAACTTTGGATACATCAATTTCAGCTCATTATTAGTAACATTATATTTCTTGCACTTTTTTTTGTGAGTCATACTGTTTAACGAGTGCCCATGTAAAACAAAAATCGCAAAATGTCAGATTAAATTTGATTTTTTATAAAATAATCATAACCAATCGATAAAATACATTTTTCGATTAAATTTGATAAAATAATTGATTTTAATATATTTTTCTTTGTGTAAATCGATTTTATTTCCAGAAATTCAAATAATCCACTCTAAATTTAATTGATTTTAATCGATTGTTTTACCGAGTAATCGATTAAAATCAATTTGTTTTGGATTATTAATTTGATTAAAATCCGATGAAGAACGTCTCATTTTAATCGATTTTAAATCACAAAAAAATCGATTAAAATTTGATTTTTTACGCATTTTTTTTACATGGGTGTCAACGGTTTAATTCTATATTTTACCGTCTGGAGACTGCAGTCTATGTGTAGCGGCTAAATAGCGTTACTTGTTTCGATGTATCGTTAAGTCCTTAAAATTCAAAAATAGAGTAAGGTCATCAGTTGCATAAAAAGCATAGTATGGGGGCTGCAGTTGATGAAACATATTCTGATCAATCTACATACATCGATCAAAATGTATTGATGGTGATCAAGAGAAGTCTGGAAGTTTGGTGCCAATAAGAAAATCCTATCTTTACTAAAAAAGCTGCATTTATTTCGCTATAAAACTCAAGTGTTTATGCAGACTATGTTGAAGCATAAAACTAGAAAGTCAAATCTCCCACCAACGTGATCAAATATACATGTCAGCATGCTATTTTGGATTTTTGAATTTTGAAGCTTGTACATTCTACGACTAATTTTATTTTGAAACGCCAATTCTACGAAAGTTAAAGAAAATGTCACTCGAGAATTCAACTATTTTCTAAATAGGCTTAAGTGACTAGCGTCATTGTTGGCTCATTTCATCTTACTCCACATGGGCTCAACCTAGCGACGAATCGCATTGAAAAACCATAAACTAAATTTTTTTTTATTTCTTCGCGGAGTTTACGATATGTGACAATATTTGTATAGTCTTAACTTCTAGTATTATTTCAACTAATTCCCACATATCTTCCTGTTTAATTACCCTTTTTCTGAGGGAATCTTGATCAATTCTACATTTGTCTATGATAAGTTGCTTTTTGCATAATCAAGAACAGAAGTATGAGCAAAGTGTGATAGTAAGAAATGATGATATGTTACGAGTATATAATTAGTAAGAGAATTGCCTATGGATAAAATACATTTTGATTAATCTTTTATCTTCAAACTGTTTCTTGCACTAGTGACTTTTGTTCACATTCTTCGATTGATTGAGACTTTTGAGCGGAAAAATTTAGACTTAATCGAAAAATAAAGATCGGCAACATGTTGGAATGCTCGAGAGATCGAAAGTAAGTAGTACTTGTTCGCTGACATCACTGTTGATATTGTCACTGTAAGATGAAGTGACAAAAAGTATCGAAGTATTTTGCGTAGTCAGAATGAAGTCTGCTATTTCCTAACACTTGTTCATGGTCGTTTTCTCAGATGAAGAAAATGTTGTACTCTATGTTCAAATTATAATGGAAAAAGTTATTTCATTTTTTTTTGAATTCTCGTTTACTTACGTTTGTCTAACATGCTTAATGAGACAACTTATTTTTAGTCCAAAACTGCACGATGCACATCATAATTCATCTTATTCTCATCTTTGCTCTACTGATCATTGCCGTTCAATCTCAAGGTGGTGGTAGTGGAGGAGGAGATGGCGGCGGCGGTGGTAGAAGCGGAAGTATGCGTTTTATTTTAAAATTTACATTTATAAATGTTAAATTCAGGTAGTCAAAACTATATCAATCCATGTTTAACCATTGAATGTGAAATAGCAGTCTTCGTTTCGAAAATCGTTGATGTATTGCTTGCTGCAGCTGCCATTATATGGGCAATTCGAACACGGATTCGTCAATGTACAGGTGGTAGGCCACCAGTCGACAACACAGTATTTATCAATCAAAATTCTCTAAAGAATGTTAACTTTCAAAATAATCCTTTCATGGATGGTATCTGGTCTAGTCGATATTATCAATATAATAAATGGCATACATCTCATCAATTATCACTTTTGTTCAATCGATATTCATATCAAGTAAGCGGCGGAGGAACAGATGAAATCGGTAGTTATATTATCGATGGTATCTTTTGTATGAGAACCTTTCGCATGTGCCTAGCAAAAGTATATCTAGTAGGAACATGAGATCCTATAGAGGACTTTGGCCATACGGTGACTATACAATTGATTTGGGATTCAAAGCATAATCGATTCAAAGGGAAATGGTATACTCAAACAAATAAATATAGTGGAGAAGACAAGTTTGAATTGACCTTCGAAGCTTCGACTCAATTGCTTGCAACAAACAATCGTGATTGACAGCCTAGTCTTTCGGTTGTATAATATTATACTTTGTATATATCATTCAATTGATTAGAACAAAACTTTGTCAACATCGACGGTTAATAATCATTGTAGTCACGGACATGAAATTATTGATTCATTTATTCGTATATGTAACCATGTAGCTTTTCTATTAATTTTAATAATAGTCGATCTAAAAACATTTGGATTTCAATGAAACAATAAAAATCACATAAGGAAAATCATAGAATGAGTTCGAAAAGGAGAGAAGACAAACGTTAAGAGATGTTCAGATTATAATTAATTCTGCGAAAATTTCAATTGCACAATATTTTCCTTTTCTTCATTAGAAGTCTTCCAGATTATGCATTATTTTCTAAATAATAAAACGAAAATCTTACAGGACTCAAACTTTTTCTTTAGAAACGAAGTGCCAAAGGGATTCACAGGATGGAAAAAAATGTTTTCGTTTGTACTTTCGATGAAAATTTATGGCAGATTTTGTAATGGATAATTATTTATCGTCAATGAAATAGTTTGTCTTGTTTCTGACGTATAATGATCGATTTGAGTGTGCGTGTGGGGTTGGGTGTTGGTGTCTTTCTTCCTCATATACACATCGACTCACACCAACATCCAAACCCCAAGGTATCCTGAGTAAACCGAATTTTATGGTATTTGAATCAGCTCAGAGCTCTCTATTATATTTCATAGCAAGATCCCTTGAAAATCAAAAAGGAGATAGTTTGTATCAATGCTCGGACGGAGGGAGATATGGAGATTTCTGGAAGTTCGTTTCTATCAAAACCTTTGGAAGGGTACAGGAATGTGAGAATTCTTTTTATTTTCAAAGGATATTTTTATGAATCTGAATGGAGAGCCGTGGGCTTATTAAGACCGAATAGAAATTCATCTTGGTGTGGTTACCTTTCTGTAACTTGTCGATCGAATTCGAGTACAGTCCCTAGGATAAATGGGTCATGTTCGGATATTTTCTCATATGATTCCCGCAACCGCTATTGAAGATCATTAGTGAATTCTTACATAAATAGCCAGTAGTCAGTCTTTCCTTCAAATGAATACAAGTCTTGTTACTAAAGGGTTCATTTTTTTGGAAGACGGACCTATCATGTTTGCGAATGAGATCAAAATCATGATTTTAGGGTGCATCTGCTGAATAATGGAACCTATCCAAAACAGCGCTTTTCTTTCAAAACAAATGTTCAATGAGATCTCTCTCCACACATATAGCAGTTCTCTAACACGATTCTTTTATGAGATATGAATGCACAAAGGACGTCGAAAAGGGTTATTTTTCCGTGTTTCTGGGTCTAATGCTAGGTCATGAACATTTAACTCCCATAAAGATATCTTTGTACGAAAAGTAAGTCAGCTTGACATGCTTTTATACTTGGAAGTAACATTCAACCAGATGCATCTTCGCCTAGACATCCATTTTACCAAGGTCTAAACAACACTACTGAAGATTGAGCATATAGAAGAACGGCAATATCTCGAGACTGAGACTTTAGTTTTATGAAAAACCATCGGTCCGACTTACAGAAAACATTTCCACTCGAGCAGCTTCGTCAACTACAGATAATCTGTTATTCTTCTTACAGCTGTGAGAAGTTTGTGAGGGTCCACATGATATCTGGCCTAGGTGACCACTTTAACAGCGAAGCCTACTATTTATATATTGTCCATAAGAGTTCCCCCAATGCCACAGAGCCTGACGACACCTACCATTCCGAAGTGTATACTGTTCTCATTACTCGTCAACTTGTGTAGTTCGTAACCATTCGTTGCTGCAAACAGTCAGCGCCCGAAGATTCTGAGGTCTAACATTATCTGTTCACATCACTAGACACCTACTGTTTTAGTCATATCTCACACCAACTTACCTTGATTTCTTTACCTCATTTAAGCCAGTTGCTGTTCCCGAACTTCTTTGTGTGTTAATATTTGTAACAGTGCTCAAAAAGACATAAGTTTTTAGACTTTCAGCTCCTTCAGATACTTCGGATCTCTCAGTTTTACCGATTCCGTGAGGTACAGGTACTCCTTGAATTCCGTTAAGTCCATGAGTCTGTTGGGGCTTCTCACATCTGCTTGCTTGTGGTGTTTTTCAATCTGCGTGTGTTTAATGAGTTCCGTGAATTCCGAAGAATTCCGAATTCATGGAAATCCACCACATCTCATATTTTTTACTATTGCATTAAATAATCGGTTTTTACCTGATTATTAACGTGTTTTTCACATGGATATGGTACAAATAATTAGTGCATAGAATTTATATATGCATTCTTAGCTTTAAAGATTATTTGAAAAAAAGCTTTCAATTTGTCCATTTTTTATCACTTTACAGCAGTTTCGGAGTTATTAGAATACCTTCAATAGACAGTAGACATTTAAAACCAAATTGTAATGATCGAAAAATAAAAAATGAAAAACTAAGAGTATTGTCTGAAGAGAGAGAGAGCATTGTCTTAAGTACATTTATCCTTAGTACGAAAAGTACCAAGTATTGTACTAAGTATCCAATCACTGCTATCTATGTATGCGCTGTAAATCGTCACAATTAATACAATTTACATTTATTGACATAAAGGTAACACGCAGACGAAATCTATTGGACCTGCGCTGCATATTGTAGAAAAAAAAGAATTCACTTTTTTCTCATAATTTTTTTTACATCAAATTGCATTCGATGTTTAACTTAAATATACCCAAAGATGTAGTGTGTTCCAGACATTCTCGATATATGTAGTAAATTAACAAATAAAAGAAATATAGTAATAAAAAACAAAAAAGACAATGGGAAAAAATTCAAATTCTTCCTGTAGTATTTTATTATGATCAACATATCGATGTGAAGCTAGCACGACGACCAATCAAAATCAATGTAACAACCCACCAATGAAAATCGGTCCATGTTTTACCGCTGACAATCCATATACTACCCGCACTACTTTCCTTAGCAACAAAATACAAAAAAACGATAAAACCGACAAAACTCATATTTCCGTGCGAAATATTCATCAACACTCCAAAGAAAACCTGAGCTACATGAATCACGTCGGCTTCTCAAACTAAATCAAACTTTGTGAATCCTTCCTCATTTGCAACCAAACAATGAAAAACCCATTCGATACAGAATTGAATTCTCTACAAGATCGTACGTTCATTATAGAGAGAATCGATATCCGGAGGCGCCTTCCGACAGAAAAAAAAGATCTCACTCACATTTCTTCGTGGGCGTGTTCCGAAATCTCAACAGCTCCTGTGGATACATTTCCTATTGCAACGGAAGAGTTGACATACCATGAGACAGAGAATTGAATTCTCTATCAGATGGTATATTCATCATAAAGAGAATCGATTTCGGGAGAGGGCATCCCAAGGAAAAAAGACCTGCCTCACATTTTTTCGTGATTGTTTCGGGAAACTTCATGGGCTCCTGTGCATACAGTTTCCATTGCAACGGAAGAGTTGACATACCATGAGATAGAGAATTGAATTCTCTATCAGATGGTATATTCATCATAAAGAGAATCGATTTCGGGAGAGGGCTTCCGAAGGAAAAAAGACCTGCCTCACATTTTTTCGGTGATGGTGTCGGGAAACTTCATCGGCTCCTGTGCATACAGTTTCCATTGCAACGGGAGAGTTGAGATACTATCTAATAGAGAATTGAATTCTATACAAGATGAAATATTCAGAATACAGAGATTCGATTTCTGAATGGAGCTTCGAATTCAATATAAGTCAAACTCGCACATCTGAGCGAGTGGTGTTCACAGGTCTGGTCTGGCACTGTGGATAGAGTTTCCATTGCAACAACAGACTTGATATAACGTCCAATAGAGAATGGAATTGTCTAGAAGATGGAATTTTTATCATAGAGAGAATCAATTTCTGGAATGGGCTTTCGAAATGAAAATAGGCCACACTCGTACATCTCAGCTAGCGTTTTCGCAAGTTTCGTCGGCTACTGTGGCCAGAGTTTCTATTGCAACGGAGGACTTGAGGTACCATCCGATTGAGAATTCAATTCGCTACAATATAGAATATTCATGATAGAGAGAATTGATTTCTGGATGCGGGTTTCCGAATTAAAAATAGGTCACTCTCGCGCTTTTTAGCGAGGGTGTTTGGATGTCTCGTCAGCTGCTGTGGCTAGACCTTCTATAGGAACGGTAGACACGATATACCATCCAATAGAGATTTGAAGTCTCTATCGAAAAGTATTTTCATTGTCTTGTTGCAATGGATTTTAGCTCGAGAAGATTCGATCTCCATATCGGAAAATATTGCATGAGAGTGGGTGTCGGGTCTTTTTTTTCGTTTCTACCCTCCGGCTGGAAATTGATTCTGTCTATGACGAATATACCATGTTCTAGCAAATTAAATTCACTATCGAATGGTATATTCAGTCTCCCGTTGCAATGGAAACTCTATCCACTGGAGCGGATGCCAGTATGGAAAACCCTTGGAAAAAAGTGTGAGGGAGATCTTTTTTTCCTTCGTAACCCCCGTTCCAAAATCGATTCTCGGTATGATGAATATATCGTCCTGTAGAGAATTAAATTCCCTATCAAATGGTATATTCAGTGTCCCGTTGCAATGGGAACTCTATCCACTGGAGCGGATACCAGTACGGAAAACCCTTCGTAAAAAGTGTGAGGGAGATCTTTTTTTCCTTCGTAGCCCCGTTCCAAAATCGATTCTCGGTATGATGAATATATCATCTGGTAGAGAATTAAATTCCCTATCGAATGGTAGATTCAGTCTCTCGTTGCAATGGAAACTCTATCCACTGCAGCGGATACCAGTATGGA